GAGAGAGAGAGAGAGTGTGCACGTGGTGAAACACCAAATCAATGTGCCAGGATCTTAACAATAAAGATGTATCATATCTTATCTTATCTTATATTATGACTCCGTTGAAGTGGCTCCCAGTTCTGAAAAGTTTGCCCCCCCCCTTCCAGGCCTTGTTTTATTAATCCGAACTAGTTGTGTATAACCTTTCAGTGAGAAACATTGACATGACGCAATCACAAAACTAGAACAGTCCTCACAGGACGAAACATCTGCTGTCCAAGAAAAACAAATTAGTACCTAAGTTCAGTGGGTTAAGTGTCTGGAAACACTGCTTTTTATTTGGATAAATACGAGCGGTGGATAGGAAACGCCTGATCCACGTCTATCGAGTTTCCCGTCCCAATTAAATAAGTCCAGTTCGACGGCTCCCTGGGTTTATACTATATTATATGTGAGGCATTGTGGTGGAATCAGGCTCTCGTCAATTTTTGTGCATGTAGAGTTAATGATATCATCTTAAAGCTTGTTCACTTGTATTTATTTGGATGAAAAAAACATCCTTTAATCTTGAATACAAGTCAAGATATTTGCAAATGAAGGAGGTGGGGGTCACCTGTTTTCATAGGTAAAATTAGTGAGAAAATGGCCGCCAAAGATTAGTTATTTCCTTAGCTTAAGAGTCCATGTTAACTGAAAATTTACATTTTTTGTGCCTTTAATCAACGTTTTTCAGAAAACTCCACCCAGAAATGAGTTCTTTAATGGACATGAAAGGTGTTGAACCAAAAAACAAAAATTTGATAAAAATTCATTAACCTGCGGAAAAGTGCAAGTTTCCTCATTTTAATTATTTTGACGAGAGCCTGATTCCACCACGGTGCCTCACATATGTACAACATTTAAAAAAAAGCATAGGTATAGACGCAAATGTATAGATTGATAGAGGTATAGACAGATAGATACATAGATGAATAAACAGATTTTAAAAAATTGATTTGAGTTTAGTAAAGTAAAAGTATAATAGCGTAAAAGCATAGTCGTTTAGG